GACTCAATGGCTGACTCCCAACCTAAAACACCACCATGAGAGAGGAGAGAAGAAAAAAAGTGTTCTCCAGCGTGCTAAGGATTTTGCATACCTCTGCACTGTTAAAAGCATATCCTTCTTATCAAGGGAAAAACGGGACTTCTAAGCACGTTGAGCACAGTAATTGCAACGCTCTCCTCCCTCTCAACCCGCTTGCTTCTCTGGGTGGTCAGTAAGCACAGACCAGAAACTGAAATACTGAGATATGACTTGCTGAACGTTACATAAGAGGCCTGTAGCAGAGAACTTAGATCAGAAGCTAAACGCTATGCAGCAGGAAGAGCTGAACTTCAAATATTTGAGGAATGCCAGTTTTCATTTAGATCTTTCAATTGGTTAACTTTAACCAGAAACAGCTGCAAATTTGTCCATTCCTGGCCATATCTCTCTACCTGGTATTAGATTATAAGACATGGGAACGTCTGCCAGCTACCTGATCTCAGTGATGTTCACGTGGCAGTCAACGTGCGGTACTCTAAATGCTACAGAAAAAGTCTGTCCTGCATCAGTGCGTGTAACATGCCAGCTGAGCAGAGTGGCAGGGAAAACGCTTCCTGCAAGAGAAGAGTGTAATACCTGCGATGATGACTGAGTTGCTGGGGATGGCTCTGTGACCTGGATGTGCTGCACCTGGATAGCATGCTGGGTATATGTCTGGGGATCATGAAGCTGCCCGACGTCCACTGTGGAGTGCTGGGACTGGTGAGGTGAGGTAGCCTGCAAAAATCCAGGCAGAGCCGTATACTTCAAACTCTCTACAGAAGCAGCCACGCAAACCTCTGCTGTCATACAGCATGTGGAGCAATGGGGTATGAGCCTTACTGGGGCCATGGAGCACTACTGATCAAGCTGCATTTACCCTCATTGCACTCCCATGAGTTGGGGAAGAACATTTAAGAGATACAATGGCATGGAGATGGTTACATTTCAATGATTTCAACGAAAATGACTTGCCTAAAGTCATATAAGTTGTCTGGTCCAGCAGAAGCTGGACTTGAACAAAAGCATATGGGAAAAACTAGGCTAGTGTCACAACCACTGGACCATCCTTTGTAAGCATCCTTCTATGTAATGTATACATGCTCAGGATCTGCATATCCAAGAGCACAGTTTGATGTAGGTCTATATCAAGAAAACAGTGTTTGGAGTCTTACTGATGAAAGGCTTTTTGGAGCAACACCTGCTAATGAAAGTAATTAGCAATCTAATTACAAGCCTCAGATCTTGATAAAATTAACATTAGCTGCAGGAATCAGTATTCACGCACTGTTAAAACAGCCTCAGTCAGTTTTAACCGGGGCCATTGGCTAGGTCATTATTAACCCAATTTGTAACCAAACGTACAGTGAGGGGCCAGAGAAAACACTGAATTTCAGATTCGGAGACAAACACATGGTAATTTCACCTTCGTCCAACGGATAATAGAGATGAAGGCTACAGTGATGACTTAAGGCTGCTTGAATATAATTTTTTTCAGCTCCATTTCTCTAGTTATGCTCTGTTTTTATTTTTAGGAGACTGTTGAGGTCAGAGAATAACTATTTTAAATCGATAATACAAAGGGAAGTAGCAAACACTTCCTGTACGTCCCAATTTTGGTTCTAGCTCACTGAGGACAAGGAAGTACAAATTAGTCCTCGCAGCAGCAAAAACACTGACCCACTTTGCCAGTAGCTGCAGGGCCTGTCCTATAATGGCCTTTGCCCGACAACTGCTTGGCTTCTTACGTGAAGTAGTTAGCAGCCTCGGTCCTTGTCTAGAACCCGATTTAAACGGGAGCTTAGATACCATCTAGAAATTAGATACTTAAATGCCCCTATGGATCTGGTCAAAATGATATGTCTGTATGACACTGATTATTGCCCTTTGCTGGAAGTCTCCTCAGAAAGGCAACAGTTCAAGAGGAAAACTGCTTGCGCATCCTGTTGCGGATAACCCTACACAGACAGATACAACAGAAAACAAAACACTTTCGCAACAAGTAACGAAAGGGAAATTTGAAGGCACGCTGTACTTATTCTGGGTACAAAATGCAGAATTTCAGGTCTTAAATGACAAAAACGTCTTCAAAGCTTGATGGCACTGGTT